CCCTTGCATCCTTCAGGCCGACTGTACATCGCGGCGACCATGGGGCCATGGAAAGACACACGCATACTTCCCAAAACGATCGTTTCGCCTGATACATCCCCAGGAACACACACATGGTCGACACCCCCTTTAGGTGGCGTAAGTGCCATGGCTGCTACATCGCGGCGGCCATGAAACTCTGAGGAGACGCACGCCGACTGTCCAAAACGGGGGTTCCGCCTGAAGCATCTCCATCATCTGGACGCGAACGAGCCCGCGGAACCTCCCTGGTCGACACACCTTACGGCGGCCACAATACGATGTCTGATGAGCCTGAATATGTCTGAGCATGACGAAGTCTGAGTATGAGAGAGTCTGCGTGTGAGTGAGTCTGAGTAGGAGTGAGTATTGCTACGAATGCGCCTGAATGCATGTGCGTCTGAGTGTGATTGAGTCGATGTTGGGGTGATCTTAGCATTGAATGAGTCTACGTATGATCTGGCCTGAGTCTGGGTGAGTCTGAAGCACGAGTGAGCGAGTCTGAGGTCTACGTTTGAGTGAGTCCAAATAAATTTTTAAAAATTTAAAGATGCGCAAGCGAGTCTCAGTATGAGTGGTACATATGGTATGAGTGTGCACGAGTCTGAGGGCAACAGCGTGAAGAAGGACTAAGGAGGGAGTGGGGAGGCGGAGGCGCGACGCTGATCGTAAGAATCTCACGCGCAAGAGATGGGTGAAAAAAACACCGCTGTCCCGACCCGACCACCCTGACACAGGGCTCTCCCGAAAAACTCGAGGCGGGAGGAAGGAGGAGCAGGGCGGTGAGACCTCGGGCTGTGCACGGACAGCCCGTCCAGGCAGCCCCCGCTGGCCTGCGCAGGCCCCCCGAGCGGCCCCGAGCTGGCCTCAACCGTTCCCCCGAGCAGTCTGGGGCGGTCTCGAGACCCTGGCGGCCCCCCCGGGCTGAGGTGTTGAGACCGCCCCAGACTGCTCGGGGGAACGGTGATAGGGCTCGGGAGGTAGCGCGGACTCGGAGATCGAGAGAGGGGGCTCAAACGGATGTTTTAGTACGCTGGACTCGGCATACAGGAACTCACGAGACCTAAGCCAAAGGCTGCGGAGGCACGGAAGAACAGCGGAGGACAGAGAGGGAGCAAGAGGAGGGACCCAGACACCCCGGGGGCCCGCTTTCTGGGACAGTGTTGAGACCGCCCCGGGCTGCTCGGGTGGCCTGCTGCTGGGACTGCTCGGGAGGTGCGCCGAGGCCGGCGGCTGGCCAGCGGGGGCTGGCCCTGGGCGGGCCGCCTGCGCGCAGCCCGCAGCCTCACCCAGAGGGGGCGGAGAGGGAGGGGGCAGAGAGGGAGGACAGAGACGCAGCTCCCGATGTGAGGGGCAGCGAGAAGGGGGGAGGACTGGCACAGGAGAGGGCACGTCGGCCAGGAATCGGCGATACGTCGCCGTTGGATCAGCGATGGGCCCCCGACGGCGAATCCGCACGTTCCTGGGCGGGGTGCGGCTGTCAGATCCCTATCGAAGATCATTGGGCGATGAGGGATCGATGCGCCCCCCCCCCATATGCCTATCCCCTTCGATCCTTGCATCCAGCTACGGCCGCCCGAGCTCGGCCCCCCTGGCAAGGTCAGGGCTCAGCGCCAGCTCCCGCACGCCGATCGGCGCGGAGGGGAGCGGCGGCGGCGGCGGCGAGCCCGCAGGACGGAAGGAGGCCACGTCGGCAGCTGGCGGCCCACGAGAGGCTCCCGAACGAAGCGAACCCCACCCTCCCACTCAGAAATCGTGGGGGGTAGGGGTAGGGTTCGCATGTGGCCCCCTAGAGAGGGGGCACGACGAGGGGGGGGCGGCCTTCGCGGGGGAGCAATGGACCCGGCGCGACCCCAATCAGGGGGAACGCTCCCTACTGCATCGGCGCAGTGCCTAGCAGTACGTTTGGCATTGCTCGGCACTGCTCGGCATTGCTCGGCATGGCTTGGCATTGCTTGGCATTGCTTGGCATTGCTTCGCACTGCTTCGCATTGCTGGGCACTGCGTGGAACGGGCACCATAAGAATACGAGGCACCTGTGGCGGGGACCTGGGGAACCCAGGGAAACCTGGGGAACCCGACGAACCCGGGGAACCTGGGGAACCCGAAGAACCCGGAGAACCCAAAGAACCCGGGGAACCGGGAACCCGGGGAACCCCAGGAACCCGAGGAGCACGGGAAACCCGGGGAACCTGGGGAACCCGAGGAACCCAGGGAACGCGGAGAACTCAGGGAACACGGGGGACCCGAGGAATCTCTGGGAACCGGGCAAAGCAGGCCCCCGAGTCACCAACCTTTAAACAAGTAAGAACCCCATTCGGCAAGCCTAATCGAAGAAAATCAGAGGAAGAAGAGGTGCCGATCCCGCTACCATGCCCTCGTGCTCCCCTTTTTGGGCCTCGTGGGAGCCCCGCATCGCCACTGCTGGATTCGCATCGAAATCCCGGTCAGAACGCACCCTGGGACAGGCGAGCTTTGGAAGAGATCATGAAAAATATTAGAAAATTATGTTTAAACAGTTATCAGAAATAATCGAATAATCGTCCCACTACTATTTTGTCCTACTTATAAATATTCCTCCTGTAGAGCACCAAAACCGCTGCTCCACCTGGACCTCTCCCTGGGGTGCGTTCTGACCAGGATTCCCAGACCCCTTCGCGCTGCGAAAATATCACGACGGGAGATTTGTCGCTATTTTCAACCTCCGGGGGCCCTCGCCGAGCCTCGGGGCCATCAAAAAAAGACGCAGGATGACAAACCGGTCCGGGGGGAAGGGGTCCAGGCCTCTGGGTCGATGTCTTTACACACACACACACACACACACACACACACAAAAACAAAACAAAACAAAAAAAAAAAAAAAAAAAAAAACGTCGGGGGTCGGGTTTCGGGGAGAATGCAACCGTAGTGACGAGGACTCTCCAGGACGAGCAGCGGCATTGGTACACCTCCTCAGCTGGCTCCTGCTGGCTCGCCAGACTTCGCGCCACCACCTGCGGGCTCCCGCGCCGACCCCTCCCTGGAGAGGGACGCCTCTGCGGCCCAGAGAAGGCGAAGCGCAAAGCATGGACCTTCGAGCCCCGTCCGGGCGACCCGGTTCTGGGGAAGCCCGCTCCCCGAAGACGACGCCAGGACTGGGACAAAATCGGATCAAGACGGATCGGGGATCTGGCGGTGCTGGAGGATGTCTCGGGCGCCGCGGCCAGTCCAGAGCGCTCCAGAACGAGCTGAGGGCATTCTGGAACGCTCTGGAGCGATGTGTCCTGGTCCTAGGCGGCCCTGTGGAAGGCGCGGGTCAGGAGACAGCCTCCTGGGAGGTCTTCGCAGTCACGACTGAAATCTACCAAGCCCGACTGTAAGGCCTCTTTTTTTTGGTAAGTATAATAATGATATATATATATATATATATATATATATGAATATATATATATATATAAGAGGAAGAAGAATAACCACAAAAAAAAACTGCTCGCCGCGGTGGGGCGTGATAGGAAAAGCCCCCCTGCTGTCTGGTTAAGCGCCTGTTTTGTGGTTTCTGGGGCTGGCCCATTCCCACCCCGCCCGCGCGCTCAGAAAATCGCCTTCTACCCAAAAGCAGCCGAAAACAGCCAAAACGAACGAACACAATCCACACAGCCACAGGAACACCCTAAGACGGCCAAAACAGCCGACACCGCCTCAAGCCAGCCAAGTTCGCCCCAAGACGGCCCAAAAGGCCTCCCAGGCGGTTCCCCAGGCCTCTTCTCTTTCTCGCCTCCTCGCAATCCTCCTCTCTGTGGTAGTGGAGCTGTTGCAGATCCTGGGGAACTCCTCCTCCTCCTCCTCCTCCTCCTCCTCCTCCTCCTCCTCCTCCTCCTCCCACCTATGGTAGTGGTGGTGGTGGGAAATCGGCCCATCAAGTTAACCTCATGTCTACTGCGTTGCTGCGGCAGTGGCACGGTGGCGTAGTTGGCCGCAGGCAACTGACATAAATCCAATTAAGCCGGATCGAGCCGGACTGAGCGGAATGAAGCGGGCCTGGGCCCGATCAGGTCGGTGTTCGACCACGCCAATACCAGCGCCGATGCTGAACCTAACCCCCCAGGATTTCCACCCTATCGTTGGGTGCATTTGGAACTCTAAGGGGGCGAGCCGCTCCACGCAAGCTTGGACGCCCGAAATGTGTACGGAAAAAATAGACACAATGCCAAACAACATATGCTGTCCAAAACCAACAGCGGCCGCTGTGGGGCAGGCGGCCTCCTGTCTCAAACGGACACCGTCCGCGGCGACACCGACAGCAAGCCATGTTCAGAATGAACAGCAACTGCTGTTGGGCTTTGTACCCACTCTTTCCGCACCTCCCACTCGTCCTCCTCCTCCTCCTCCTCCTCCTCCTCCTCCTCCTCCTCCTCCTCCTCCTCCTCGGGCCTCCTCCTCCTCCGACGCCCCGTACTCTCCCCCGTACTCCTAGGGGGGTGCCCCTGCCTCCTCGGAGCCCCGCCCGGCTCGCCGTCGTGCCCATCTCTGCTCGCTGGCGGCTGCCCCGCCCTTGACGGCGCGCAGAGGGGGTAGGGCAAGGGGGGAGGGCTTTTCAGAAGCACCCCTGCCTTTCTGTTGGAGGGCGCGGGCTTTCTCTGCAGATGTAAGGGCGCCTTCTAAGGAGCAGCCTCCTTCTGAAAGGCCTCCCCCCTCCCCCCCTACCTCGGCGGTGGACAAACCTCCCTCCCTTTAGTACACCTCCCCTTAGTGAAAACGGCCTGGGACCGAAACCGACGGACCTGGACCCGCAAAAATGGCGGCCGCGACGCCCTCTGGCGAACCAAAAACGGCCAATTCCTTCATCGACGTGTCAGGGTAGGAGCTCTGTCCACCCCCGAGGCGCCTTCTAAGGAGCAGCCTCCCTCTAAGAGGCCTCCCCCCCTCCCCCTCTACCCCCCTCCTGCGCGCCGGCGGCTGCCCCGCCCCCCGGGGGCACACCCCCGGGAGGCGGCACCACATCGCTACGAGGGCGCACGGCACGGCGAGGCGCGCAGGCCGTCAGGCCGCCAGGTGGCCGGCGACCCCGCGTGGTCCTGGCCGTGCGACAGCGCCTCGGAGGAGGAAGAAAAAACCCGAGAAAGTATCACGACGGGAAATTTTTCGCTATCGTCGGCCACTGGGGACCCTCTCCCCGGGCATGGGGACCGACAGAACGAGATTCGGGGTGCAAAGCCGACCCCGGGGAAAGGGTCCAGACATCCGGGGGTCGACGTTGCGGAAAAAAACACGACGTCGCGCGACGTCGGGGGCCCGGGACATGCCCATAATCTCTGCCCTTCCCTCGCTCTCCCCTTCGTGGGGGCCTCCTGGGAAGCCCTCGCCGCCACCGCCAAATCCGCCTCGGAATCCTAGTCAGAAGACACCCCTGGAGAGGTCCAGAAAGGAGCGGTGTCGGTACCTCTTGGTTTGTTTCCCCACGTCCTTGCTGTGCGCCTGCAGACGCCAGGAGGTCAGCAGCTTCCGCGACGACACCACCTGGCAGCTCTGTTTTCATCGAGGTCGCATGACGTGCGCGTTGTGTTCCTTTGCCCGGTCGTGAGCAGGCATCGCGCGGGCGGCAGCAGTGTTGGCTAAATTGCACGAGTAGCTTCCTGGCAAGTCACTCACAGACGAGGCTTCCGCCTGACACATCCGCCACATTCAGGCCTCAGGGGGCCCAAAAATGACGACAGATACAAGGTCCCGATGAGCCGCTCGAATTAAAAAGCATGAGCAGCGGACCCCGTAGGGAGAGGGGGCTCCCGCCTGAGACTACCTCGCAATTCACTCACAGACGAGGCTCTCGCCAGATACTTCCTCCATATCCAAGCCTCAGGGGGCCCAAAAATGACGACGGTTACAAGATTCCGATGACCAGCTCGGATTAAAAGCATGAGCGGCGGGCCCCATAGGGAGGGGGTTCCTGTCTGAGACTTCCTCGCAAGTCACTCACAGACGAGGCTCTCGCCAGATACCCCCCCCATATCCAGGCCTCAGGGGGCCCAAAAATTACGACTGTTACAAGATCCCGATGACCCGCTCGGATTAAAAGCATGAGCGGCGGGCCCCATAGGGAGGGGGCTCCCGCCTGAGACCTCCTCGCAAGTCACTCACAGACGAGGCTTTGTTGACGATGGTGTTGTGATAATGATGATGATGATGATGATGATGATGATGATGATGATGATGATGATGATGATGATGATGATGATGATGATGATGATGATGATGATGATGATGATGATGATGATGATGAGTGATGAGTAGTAGCTGTGAGTGAGTGAGTGGGTTGGAGAATGAGAGTGCGTGCGAGCATGTAAGTGATGATGATGCGGTGATGATGATGTTGATGAGAGTATATGAGTGTGTGAACGACAAAGGAGGGGGGGTCCTCTTCCTGCGCGGGGGGTGTCCAGAGAAAACAAGAACCCCACTTTGGATGTGGGGAACACGTCGTCACCAGAACATGGCTTCACCATTCTTGAATCTTCCTCTCACGCTGGATCGGGAAATGTGAAGAAGGAGGGAAGAGGCGGCAACGGCCTGCGGGCAGAGCCTGTCCCGACGCTGGATGGGGCTCGGCTCGAGACGCCTCCCCTCGCTGCACCGCAAGGCTCTCTCGCCCGGTCCTTCCGTCAATCGGTACCCGCAGCAAGTTGGCGCCAGTTCTGCTGACCGCATCACAGCCAGCGTCCGTGGGGGGGCTCGGACCCAGCGTTGACGTGGGGTGCGCGGCAGTGCGAGCGGTACCGAGATTGCACCGAGCACACTGCGGCGCCCACCAGGGAACCCAGACCCCGACGCCGTGATTTTTCCACAACGTCGACCCCAAAGGTCCAGACCCTTCCCCGGGACCGGTTTTTCATCCTGAATCGTTTTTGACGGACCCGGGGCCTGGTAGGGGCCCCCAGAGGCCGAAAATTGTGAAAAAAACTCCCGTCGTGATTGTTTCACAACGCGAGGGGGTCTGGAAGGGGGGTCAGGGAGATGAGGATCAGAAGGGAGTCCCGAGAAGGCGGAGGACAGAAGAAAAATAAGAGGAGGGAATGGACGAACAGGGCAAAAGGGAGCCAGGACTTCCTTTGAACCGACGCACCAGATCCTGGAAGAGACCTCCGTAGCTCCTATTGTTAGTGCTGCGCGTATAAGGCCTCAATCTATCGGGGCTCAAAGGACGGGGGCCAATGCAAACGAGATCCGTCAAAGCGCCGAATATCGCAGGATCCTGCAGGGCCAGGGGCGCACTGACCCGGGCTTGGGTGCAGGATCCTGCAGGATCCTGCAGGATCTTGCAGGGTCCTGCAGAGCCTGACCGACCCTGGGCTGGATTGACCCGAGTCAGCAGATCCTCGATTGTATGTACGCTGCGGAAGCCCAGCGCAAGCAGGGTCTCTGACGTGGCTGTCACACTGGACGGCGAGGAGAAGACGAGGCATGCGCTTACCCCCACTCATGCCAGGGTAAGGAAGCGGGCAAGCTGGTTGGCTTTCCCCCTCTTCATCACCGGGGATCCACCATGCCGTTTGAGGAGGGGGCCCAGGGGGAGAAGGGGGTGGTGAGCTCCTCGACGCACCTTCCGGGCCCTCGGCCTCCAAATCCACCCTCCGATGCCTCCGATAAACCAAGATGCCCCACAAGAAGGTCCCAGAAGAGCTTCTATACGGCCAAGGGGTCCCAGATGGCTTCTATAACAAAACGCCTTACAGTGGAGGCCAATCCACAAGAAACCTTCCACAAGAAACCCAACCCTGAGACCCGGGGAAGTCCCTTGACTTTCGGTGTGGGAACCTCACGCTTTCCATGGCAAGACCATCGAAACCCAAGAAGCCCAGGGCACCCCGGAGGCAAGCAGGGTGTTTCTTGGCAGGGGTCTCCACCGTAGAAGACTACAGCCACCCCACCAGACAGCCCGCGGCGTTCTGCCACCACCACCCGACGTGCCAGGATCACGGAGGCTGACCTGTCTCGGGAGCGGCCAAGAGGGGGGTGTCCAAGAGGGGGGGGTGCAAATCATGACCGGCGGCATGCGCGCGGCCCAGCGGGTGGGCCAGGGGCGTAATAAAATAAGAAGAGGCGCCATGAGATCTGGGGAAATATCATGGCCCCCGCCATGATATCCACCTCCCCCTAGTCATCACCCCCCTCTTGGCCGCCCCCGACTGTCCGTCGCCAAGTCGTGAGGAGCAGGGCGCCGGGCACGAGCGGGCGGCTCGTCGCGGACCTCGCCCGCGAGCTGCGCTCCCCCTTCCGGCGCGGCGCACGGCCTCCGGCCGCCGCACCACAGAAGGAGCGACAGCGGCAGCGGGGCCGCGCGCGAGAGAGCGAGCGGCCAATGCTCTGCTCGCGGCCCTCGCGCGCGGCCCCTTGAGGCGCTCGTTCTGGGGGCCTTCTTGGAGCCAGTCGCTCCGCTCGTGCGCCGAGGCTGCGGCGACCGTCCGTCGCACCCGAGTCGAGCCTGAGTCGAACCTGAGTCGAGCTTGAGTCGAACTCGAGCCGACCTGGAATCGGCCTGGAGTCGAGCTGGAGCCGAACAGCCCCACCAGGTGTGCCCCAGGAAGGTCCCCACAACGAGCATCGGAGCCCCTGGTTTTGAGCAGGGACCGACCGTCCCGGCATTCCTATAGTCCTACCACGAAATGTTCCTAGAACCCCAAAATGTTCCAGGAACAAAAACAATATTCTTAGAACACAAACCCGATGTGTTCAAACAAGACTGACTCCGCCAGAAATGTTCTAAGAACATTTCGTGGACACCACAAAAGGTTCTAAGTCTGGTGGAGCAATAGGCGAGCCAGGACGCTTCGCCACTGCTTGATGGTGTCTGCCCTCGCTGGGCCGTCGGAGGCCGGCCGGCGCGCGAGCGCCTGCGGAGCGCCCGCGGGGACCGCGCGCCACCGCGCCGATGCCCGCGCGGCGCCACCACGGGTGCGCGCTGTTGCGGGAGGGGCTCGGAGAGGCGGCTCCTGGGAGCCTTGGCGTCGGAACGCCCGAGGGCGAGGAAGCCTGAGGTCCTGGCGCTGTGACTTCTTCACAGCGGGCGCTCTCGCACCCCGCGTCGGGCTCTCGCCGGAGCGCCGAGCGCAGTCGTGCTGCAAGTGTGCAAGAGATGCACGGCTCAAGGGCGGTTCCTCTTCAAAACGTGGCTCGCGCCGCAGCGCCGCGCACACGGATTTTTGTTCCTTAAGCTTTGCCGGAGCTTCACAGATGGAAGGCGGTGCCTTTTGAGAATGTGGCTCTCGGCTCAGCGCCGCGCAGTCGTTGTTGTAAATTGCAAGAGCTTCACTGGTTCTCATGGTCACACGCCTCCCCCTAACGTGTCAAATCCCTAAGCTAACCCGACACAGGCCGTGTCGACACTGCTCCAAAGCTAACCTGACCCATTCAAGTTAACGTGGCCAACGGCTCGGCGACACCAGTGTGTCACGCGCGCTGTAGCAAATGATGAACCAGAATGGGGCGACACAGCAACATGCAATGCAAAAGTGCCAACTGTGTCACTAATCCCTCTGCGCGTCCAATGAAGAATCTGGCCGACGCTGAAGCGAGAGCAACTTTCGCAATCATGGATGTGACCAGCGCTGATGCGAGAGCAACATTCTCAATCATGGATGTGGCCAGCGCTGAGGCGAGAGTAACTTTCGCAATCGTGGGTGTGGCCAACGCTGAGGCGAACGCAACAATTGCAATCATGGATGTGGCGGGCGCCAAGGCGAGAGTAACTTTCGCAATCGTGGGTGCGGCCGGCGCTGACACGAGAGCAACTTTCGCAATCGCGGATGTGGCTGGCGCCGAGGCGACAGCAACACTCGTAATCATGAATGTGGCCGACGTTGAGGCGAGAGCAACGTTCTCAATCACGGATGTGGCTGGCACTGAGGCGACAGCAGCCGTCGTAGTCGTAGATGTGGCTAACGCTGAGGCGAGAGTGACGTTCGCAATAACGAATGTGGCCAGCACCGAGGCGAGGGCAACGTTCGCAATCATTGACGTGGCCGGCGCTGATACAAAAGTAAGTCGCAATCATGGATGTGGCCTGCGCTCCTTGAAGGCAACATTCGCAACCATAGATATGGCCTTGGGTCAGGCCAGCACAAAGTCGATATAATGGATGTGGCCAATGGTGAAGCGAGAGCATCCGTCGCAATCGTGGGCGAGGTGTCCCGCTGCACACGCGCACTGGCTCTAGCACAATCAGTAGCATCACTGAGACGAACAGCACCAGCAACAGCAGCGCCATACGCAGAAGCAGCAAAACCATCGCCAACAGCAGCAGAAATAGTAGTGCAAGACACACAAGCGACACCAGCAGTACCTGTGTGACCAGCACGACAGCAAACAGCAGCAACAGCCACAGCACCACAGCAAGAACGACATGCTCAATGAAGGATGTCGCCAGAGCCGAGGCAACAACAACATGTTCAATCAGACATGCGGCTTACGCCAAGGCGAGAACGACATGCTGAATGAAGGATGTCGCCGGCGCCGAGGCGATAGCCACAGTTTCAATCCAAGACCTGGCCAGCGCCAAGGCGAGAACGATATGCTCAATAAAAGACGTCGCCAGCGCCTAGACGACAGCAACATTTTCAATAAGACATGTGGAAGGCGCCAAGGCGAGAACGACGTTCTCAATGAAGAACGTCGCTGGCGCCTAAGCGACAGCAGCGTTTTCAATCAGAGATGTGGCCCACGCCCAGGCGGGAACAACACGGTCAACGAAGGATATCGCTGGCACTTAGGCGGCAACAACATTTTTAATCAGAGATATGGTCCATACACAAGCCGGAGCATCATTCCGAAACAAGCGTGTCGCCAGAATGCAGTTGTCACGCCCATTCCACCTAGGCCGAGCTCGGTGTCATCGAGGTCTTGGTTACGTCAGGTGAGCAGTCCACGTTAGGGGGAGGGGTACGAACCAGAAACGGTGTCTTGGAAAGATTCAGGACTGTCAGGGCGCAACAATTACGTAGATTCGCGGTGTTGGACTCCCAGGAATGACGTTCTGGCACGATTCAGGATCGTCAAGACGCAACAATCAGGTTGACTCGTGGCGTTGACGTCCTGAGAATGGTGTTATGGTCCGCTTCAGGATTTTCACACAATTGTACCCCAACGGGGCACTTCCCTGTAGAAGTGAATCCTTGTAGGCGCCTGTGAAGAGGGAGCTTGGCGGGAGGGTGTATTCCAACATCGTTGAGAAGTCTTGGGTTCACACTGGTCCTCCTCCTCCTCCCTCCTCCTCCTCCCTCCTCCTCCTCCTCCCTCCTCCTCCCTCCTCCTCCTCTCCTTCTTCTACTTCTTCTACTTCTTCCTCCTCCTCCCCTCCTCCTCCTCCTCCTCCTCCTCCTCTTCTTTTTCGCTTTCTTCTTATTGTTATTATTTGTCCTCCTCCTCATCCTCCTCCTCCTCTTCATCCTCCTCCTCCTCCTCCGGCCACCCCACCACGACGACCAGGCGGAGATTCACCAGGGCCGCCGCCCGCCCACGGACGGTTCGCGAATATACAAACATGATCTCGTCCTTCCGAACACATTATAGGGCACGTCTAGGTTATGGACAAATCGTTCGAAGACCTGAGACCTGAGACATCCTCCCACCCTCACAAACACAACCCGCGCTCCGAGTGCACGCTCACGAGCGCGCGGAGGAAGGGGGGGCAAGAGAGGGCGCGGGCAGGAGGGGCGGGAGGAGGGAAACATGGAGGGAAAGAAAGCGAGGACCATGACCAAGACTGAACGCGGAAATGTCGGTGCCGATCTTGGTCATCGCCCATCTTGGCCATCGCCAGCTCGTGGACCACCCTCGGGCATTGGCGACGGCGGGCGTGGACCATGCCAAAGATCGGCGCCAGCAGGAACCCGCGGCATCCTGGTCATGGCCATCACGCCCCTGCCCTTGACGAGAGGCGGGGCAGGCAGCACCCGAAGGAGCAGAGCGGGGAGAGGCCGAGACCCTTCCTGCTGGACTCCGCGCCGACAACATCGTGCCTCGGGCGGCCCTTCGGGGCGACGCGGGCATCCCCGGAACGCTATCGACGAGGCGCAGCTGCTGGAAAGCGCCCCGGGGCGAGAAACTCCCCGAGAGTCTGCGAAAACGCCCGAAGGCCGAGCCGAACTGGACCGACGGAGCGCAACCGACAGAGGGCTGTGTCGGGTGCTGCCGGAAGTACCCCTGGCTCCAGGCGTCCCCAGCCTTCTGCGCCATTTTGGGGCTCCAAGGCCTCGCGAGGGGTGCTCTAGAAACCATCTGGACCTCCCAGGAAATCGGGGGCGGCCAAGAGGGGAGCCTCCAAGAGGGGGGGGCGCAAATCATGGCCGGCGGCATGTGCGCGGCCCAGGGGGGGGGGCGGGGACGTAAGGAAATCAGAAGAGGCGCCATGAAATCTGGGGAGGTGTCACTGCCCCCGCCATGAGATCCGCCCCCCTCCTGACCGCCCCCGAGCCTCCCAGGAAATCATGGGGGGGGAAACCGTGGGCCCAGGACACCTTTCCTGGTAACACCCGAGACGGGGGCGGCGCGACGACGGCGACCGCGAGGCACGGCGATCGCGCGGCGAGGCCTGGTGGCTCTCCGCGCCGTAGGCCACCAGGAAGACGCCTGCCCGAAGCCCAAGGCCGCAGGGGGGCTTCAAGGATGGGGCCCTGAGGGAGGGGCTCCTCCTCGTCCTCCTCCTCCTCCTCCTCCTCCTCCTCCTCCTCCTCCTCCTCCTCCTCCTCCTCCCTCCTCGCCCTCCTCCCTCATTCGTCTGCCAAAACCAACACCCGTCCGCTGTGCAGGTCCATGGCCCACTGCTCAGGCGACAACAGCCTCAACGATAGCTTCGGACGTAGGAAACGCATGCACGTAATGCAGTGTGCATCCTGATACTGGTTCCTCCTCCTGCCCCCCCTTCTCCTTCACCGCCATCATCCTCAGTATCCTCATCATCAGCATCATCAGCATCAGCATCATCATCAGCAGCATCAGCATCCACCATCAGCATCATCCTGATCGTCATCAGCCTTCTCCTCTCATTATCATTCGTATGATTAGTACTATTGTCGGTAGTAAGCTTCTAAGTATTATTCTTATTGGTATTATGATGATCATTATCATTGTGATTCGCATGCTCTTCTTGGTAGTAGTGTGTCGTCTTCGTCGTGCGAGTATGCTCATTGCTATTGGAAGTAGTATTAGTATGATTCGTCTGGTTCGTCTGAATAGTATCTGACTCGTCCTATCATTGTTGATAAAAGTGTTAATACTATTATTCGTGTTCGTAGTCGTGCTCTTCTTATTCGTCGCAGTAGTATGTTCCGTACTGTTAGATTGCTCGTGACTACCTGTACTTCTCAGTATTGCAAGTGTTCGGTTTACTATTGTTCACGTTCCTCATGCTGTTGGTATGACTATTTGTCTTCTTCGCATTGTCCGCATTAGTGTGCGTCTTATGTTTTGTAATACTATTAACTTGCGTATTCGTCGTCTTCTTATGATACGGATTATTATTCGTGCTCGTACGATTATTCGGATTAGTATTAGTATGGTTCGGCGTCTTGATCTCCACCGTCTGCTTCTTCGTAGTCTTCACACGAGTTAGTGGTAGTAGTTGTGTTCGAATTCGTCTTATTAGTATTAGCATTAATGATAATATCAGTCGTGTGTGGATTCGTAGTGGCCTTATTCTTAATCGTCGTCTTAATACTATTCGGAATCATCTTCTGCTTATGTTTAATATTAGAATTCGTAACACTCGTATTATGATGAGTATGCTTATTATTACTATTCCTCCTCCTCCCCCTCCTCCTCCTCGTCCCCCTCCTCCTCCTCCTCCCCCTCCTCCTCCTCCTCCCCCTCCCCCTCCCCCTCCTCCTCCTCCTCCTCCTCCTCCTCCTCCTCCTCCTACTCCTCTCCTCCTCATCCTCATCCTTTTCCTCCTCCTACCCCTCCTCCTCCTCCTCCTCCTCTCCTCCTCCTGCGTGAGGACAGAAATGATCAACGAACAACACACACTCAAACCTATAGGGAGGAGGATCGGGGAATGGAAAGGCGATGAACGCGGTGTAGGTACGGGTGCAAGTTGTCGGACCCCGAGGGAGGTCCCCTTCGACCCCCGTCCGACGTCACGGAGCCATACCCCCCCCCCAGAATCCCACCTCGGTAACTCTAAGGGACGTATAGGTATGGGTGTCAGCTGTCAGCTCGTGAGGGAAAGGGATCCCAAGCTGACCCTTCACTGCTAGAGGCCGCTCGTCCTTGGGGCCCTGCCCCTCAGGGCCTCATCTTTGGAGCGCCAAGCAGGGGAGGTACCGCACGAAGGCGCCAACTGTCCACCCCGCACCGCGCCAGTCTGAGACGAAGCCAGGATGAAGATATATTCGGACGGGGATACGCCTGGATTCCGCGCAGGTCTCCCGCGCCAGGCGAGCACAGCAAAGGGGGGGTCGGGAGGCCGACCCCCCGCGGGCGCCGGCAGAGGTCGCCTGCCCCCACCGAGAGGATCGCGGGGGGCAGGCGCTGGCCCAGAGATTACGCAGAAGGGCTCGGCGCCCAGAAATGATGTAGAAGGGCACAGGCAGTAATCAACGAGCAAGTGAAACCGCAAGATACATACAGTCGGCGGTGGACAAACCTCCCTTTAGCAAATCTCCCCTTAGTGAAAACGACCGAGGGCCGATATCGACGGACCTGGACCCGCAAAAATGACGGCCGCGACGCCCTCTCGCGAACCGAAAACGGCCAATTCCTTAATCGACGTGTCAGGGTAGGAGATCTGTCCACCTCCGATGCAAAAAAAGGGCCTGAAGCAACCCAGAGCCTGTGACCCCTGGCGGCTACAGCAGGGATAGGGCCTGTCAGCGGGAGGGCACAGGCAGGGACGGTCGTGGCCGCCAGCGCAGGACGAGCCCTGTGCTGACCACCAACCTTCCGTCTCTTGCTAGGCTGAAACGCGGGCCCAAACCTGTCGGGGATATGGAGGTCAGCGATAGCTTGATCTATATCCGTCGAGGCAACGTCTCTGATCGATACAAGCGCTCGAAGCTGACCTGCGGGCGAACCTGGCGCGCTACCCCGTCACTGGACGGGCTCCTGGACCCCCGAAGGCCAGGGGAAAAAGGCGCGACCAGTCCGTCGGGCTCGAGAGGCTCAAGGCGAGGTCTCACCGATCGAACGAAGTCGGAGGAGGAGGAGGAGCAGCAGCAGCAGGAGCAGGAGGAGCAGCAGGAGCAGCAGGAGCAGCAGGAGCAGGAGGGGGAGGGGAGGGGGGGAGGAGGAGGAGGAGGAGGAGGAGGAGGAGGAGGAGGAGGAGGAGGAGGAGGAGGAGGAGGAGGAGGAGGAGGGGGAGGGGGAGGAGCAGGAGAGCAGGAGGAGCAGGAGGGAGGGCCCCACGGGCGGCGGCCACGCCCGCGCATCCCCGAGAGGCAGCTAGGCGACGACACGGGGAGCGGCGAGGCCCGGGCCCGCCGACAATGGCGCGCCGACAGTGGCGTGCGGCCCGAGGCCTCCCGGATGGCCCCGTCGGTGCCCCCCAGCCGGTGCCAACGATAACCTCGGAGGTGGATAGGGAGGAGGACCAACAGGGAGGATGACCCTCGACCGCGGGCCCCCAGGGGCCCCCCACGCGCAGCACGCCGCCGCGCCACGCTGCCGCCCCAGATCCCCCCTCTTCCCTCGTCCTTTTTATGTCTTTCTGAGGTAAAATGGTCTCACCTTCTTTCTCCTTCCCCCGACTGTCTGCGGGACCTAGGTCCCACATCTTTTTTCGGGGGTGGACAGACCTCCTACCCTGACACGTCGATTAAGGAGTTGGCCGTTGTCGGTTCGCGAGAGGGCGTCGCGGCCGTCGTTCTTGCGGGTCCAGGTCCGTCGGTCTCGGCCCCAGGCCGTTTTCACGAAAGGGAGGCTTACTCAAGGGAGGTTTGTCCACCGCCGAATCGATAACGATGCCAACGACAACGATAACGTTAACAACAATCGCAACGAGCACAACGATCACAACAATCACAACGATGGACAACGATCGCAATGATGGGCACGACCACAACGACCACAACGATAACGACGATCACGCCCGCCGTGCCGCGCCGGCGCGCGCGCGGCCTGAGGCCGCCTCCGCCTCCCGGATGGCCCCGTCGGTGTCCCCCAGCCGGTGCAGGCAGTTCGCCAGGTTCAGGCGCGTGACCGCGACCTCGCTCCACCGCCAGAACATGTCCCTCCTCCCTCCTCCCTCCTCCCTCCTCCCTCCACTTCCTCCTCTTCCTCCTCCTCCTCCTCCTCCTCCTCCTCCTCCTCCTCCTCCTCCTCCTCCTCCTCCTCCCTTATGTCCATATCTGCTTCTGCGGGGTCGTGGCCTGAGATCTCAAGGAGTGGTGGACCTGGATACCTGCGCGCCCGCGTGGGATCCAAATGAAGTGCTCCCCGAGACCTCAGGGCACGATCCCGCGGCAACTGATACGGACCAGTTCTGGCGGCGCACTCGCGGGGCGAAGTGCGCCCCGAACCCAGAGACCCGAGGACACGACCTCTTCAGTCCGGCGATTCGTCATGGATTGGGTCTCCGGCGGCCGTTCTCGGGCCCGGGGACCGTCAGAAATGGATCCGGGACGGAAAACCACTCCCGGGAAAGAAGGGGTCGGGGCCTCTGGGGCCGCGGCTTGCGAAGATCATACCGGCGCGGACGTCTGGGCAGGACGAGGCCTCCCAGTCGGGGTGCCGCGGAGCATCGCGCCGCATCGCCATGCGCCGCATCGCCATGCGCCGCGGGGCCGGAGAGCATCGCGCCGCATCGCCACTGCAGCCGCAGTGCAGCGGCCACGGCGGGGTGGAGCGGAGCGGGCTCAGGATCGCGCCGCGTCGCCGCTGCATGCGCGAGGCGGCGTGGTCCTGCAGCCCGGGCTGCTCCCACCCCGCCTGGGAGGCCTGGACCTACGGCTCTCGTGCCTCCCGGCGGTCTCTATGGACATATCCACCCCGACGAAAGTGTCTATCGACGTCACGGCACCCAATGTGTTCACAGACGCGCTTGGCTAGGACGTGAGAACGGTCAAAATATTTGGCGTCGGCCCCGGACGTTGGTCTCCTGGAAGCAGGTAGGCTCGGCCCTGCAAATGAGAGCCCACGGGAGCGGTCGGTGTGGGCACCTGCTTTTTCCGCCTGCCGGGACTGGTCAAAGCTGTCTTGGCGAGCAGCGTCAGGGGGGGGGCCGGCTCAGAGGGGAGGCCTCGGCCTGGAAGCGGCGGCACGTCGCCGATACAGTCGGGGCCCTGAAGAAGGAACCCTTCTCGTTGGGAAGGGGCTCCGCGTTCCTTAAGTGTTTCACAGCTTGCCTCAGGCTTTCCTTATGTTCTCGACCGGAAATCGAAGGTTCACTTATGGGAAAAAGGGGCCTCGTTCCTTATTTAGGGTTCCTCAGGTCAACGCCCCGACTGTAGATCGGCGAGAGGCCCTCCTATCAGACCACCGATCCGCAGTCCATGAGCGAGTGGGGGTCGAGGCGTGCCGCCCTGAGCCTATGCCCCCCTAGCGTTGCCCCTGATGTCTGTGCTCCTCCCCGAGATAGAGGGCAGGTTTCAACACATAGGGTTTTAAAATACATACGATTTTAATGCATGACTCATTTATGAACAAACTAATGCATAAACTCATCCTTGCATTTACTCATCAACCCTTCATTCTTAATACATGGTCCGCACGCGGAGCATGTTTTAAAACCGGCGCTGTACCCAGGCGCGATTGCGAGACAGTGGACGTGGATGCTGATGCAACCAGTTCACGTGCTACATCGAGAAGACACTGTGCCACAGCATGGATCCCGACCATTCCGGCTGCTTCTTCGACACGACCCAAGACGACCAACGAGGGGCCCAAGAACGCCCCAAGAGGGCCTCAGAGGGACCCAGATGACCCCAAGACACACCCCCAAACGGCCAAGGCGGCCCCGAGACGGCGCCCAAGACGGCCCCACTGGGAGAGCGACACGGCGGCCCAAGAGGGCGCCTGAAGAACACTGAACAGGCAAATAGGTCAACCAAACTCTGGTTATTTGATGCATGCTGGCCTCCCGCCTCTTGGGCTTCAGGCGACCCCACGAGGCCCGCCTGGGAGCCCACGAGAGCTCCAAAGGGCCCCCCGAAGGCGCCAAGAGGGCCCCCATGACAGCCCAAAACGCCCGCACGAACGCCCCAAGACTAACCGCAAGGGGCCCCCGGGTGGACCCCGAAGAGGGAACCAGGGGAAACCAAAAGGTACCGACGCCGCTGCAGTCAACCCAAATCATAAGGATGCGCGGCTAGGATGCAAGGGCCTTGCAGGCACATGTGAACGTTTATCGATCGAGGTTGGCCAGCGCCAGCGCAAGTCGCTAATGATAGGCCGAATAAGGGCAAGGATAGAAAGGGTACCCTCAGACAGGTTGCCCATCCTTAGTATGCGGGCTGACTCTGCGCGTTTTCTAAGGGTGGAGGGCTCAGGGCTTCTTGCACCTCGAAAACAAGTGGCACGCGTGCCCTGGCTCTTGCACCAAGGAACCGCGAGAGACAGGAGGCTTTCGCCTCCTTCCTCCAGTTTACTTTTGTGGCCGTAGGGGGGAGGACGATCGACGAACGAACGACGACGACGAACGAAAATAAAGAGCTCCGAGCTCTAGAACACAGCTGCGCAAGATAATAAAGGGTCCAGGGCGAGAGGGACTGGGGCCAGCGCCGGGGGGGGGAGGCTGGGTCCAGGGAGGGAGGCAGGGTCCAGGGCCAGGACCAGAGGGACGACGACAAACGAAAAAAAGGGTCCAGGGCGAGGGGGACTGGGGCCAGGGCCGGGGGGGGGGGAGGCTGGGTCCAGGACCAGGGCCAGCGGGGCGAGGGGGGCTGAGGCCAGGACGAGGTGGGGAGGTTGGGTCCAGGGTCAGGACCGGACCAGGGGCGACGACGAACGAACAAAAAGGGTCCAGGGCGAGGGGGACTGGGGCCAGGGCCGGGGGGGGGAGGCTGGGTCCCGGGCCAGGGCCAGCGGGGCGAGGGGGGCTGGGGCCAGGACCAGGTGGGGAGGTTGGGTCTATGGCCAGGACCGGACCAGGCACGACGACGAACGAAAATAACGGGTCCAGGGCGAGGGGGACTGGAGCCTGACTGTGGCCAGGGCCGGGGGGGGAGGGGCCGGGTCCGGGTCCAAGGGGGCCGGGGCCAGGGCCAGGGGAGGAGGCAGGGTCCATGGCCAGGACCAGAGGGACGACGACGAGCGAAAATAGGGTCCAGGGCGAGGAGGACTGGGCCAGGGCCAGGGGGGGAGGGAGGCTGGGTCCAGGGCCAGGGCCAGCGGGGAGAGGGGGGCTCCATGGGGCCAGGACCAAGTGGGGAGGTTGGGTCCAGGGCCAGAGCCAGACCTGGGACGAAGAAAGAAAATAAAGGGTCCAGCAAGGGGGGAAGTTGGGTCCAGGGCCAGGGCTGGACCAGGGGCCAGGGACGACGAGCGAAAATAAAGGGTTGCCGGGGGGGAGGGGAGCTGGGGCCAGGGCCGGGGGGGGAGGCTGGGTCCAGGGCCAGGGTCAGCGGGGCGACGGGGGCTGGGGCCAGGACCAGGGCGGGAGGTTGGGTCCAGGGCCGGGACAAGAGGGACGACGACAACCGAAAAAAAGGGTCCAGGGCGAGGGGGACTGGGGACAGGGCCGGCGGGGGGGAGGCTGGGTCCAGGCCCTGGGCCAGCGGGGCGAGGGGAGCTGGGGCCAGGACCAGGGGGGAGGTTGGGTCCAGGGCCCGGACCGGACCAGGGACGACGACGAGCGAAAATAAAGGGTCCAGGGCGAGAAGGGTCCAGGGCGAGGGGGACTGGGGCCAGGGCCGGGGGGGGGGAGGCTGGGTCCAGAGCCAGGGCCAGCGGGGCGAGGGGGGCTGGGGCCAGGACCAGGGCGGGAGGTTGGGTCCAGGGCCGGACCGGACCAGGGGCCGGGGACGACGACGAACGAACGAAAATAAAGAGGTCCGAGCTCTAGAGCACAGCTGTGCAAGAGAATAAATCCGTCTTGGGGTTCTCCTTCGGCATATTCAAGCCTCGAAAATCCATCGAAACGGCATTTCAGATTTCACCCTTTGCCCTCCACCCAAAGAAAATGCTCGGTGACTGCACTCCGCGGACCTCTCCCGGGGTGCGTTCTGGCCAGGAGCTCGAGGCGAATCCAGCGGTGGCGACGAGGGCGTCCGAGGCAGCTCCCCCCCCCCCAAAAAAAAGCGAACACGGGGTACCTCGGCACCTGGCGGCGAGGGGGCGCCCGAGGAAGCCCCAGAAAGGCGAAAACGGGATCTTGGTACTTCCTCCTCCGAGAACCAGGACGGCCCAAGATCGGCGGTGGACCAACCTCCCTTTGGCAAACTTCCAATGAGTGAAAACGACCTACAGTGAAAACGTATAGTAAGGACGCGTGGCAAGGACGCGAGACCCTTGGAGGCCGAAGTTGAGGTATTCTGGCCTGCGAAAACTGCTAGGGAGGGGCCGCAGAGGCCGAGGCAGGCAAGGACCAAAGGCTACCCTTGAAAAAGCCGTTTGTCCTTACTATGCGCGTTGACTGTAGGACCGAGCCCGACGGACCCAGACCCGCGGCGCCCCCTCGCGAACCGAAAACGGCCACTTCACTACTCGACGTGTCGGGGTAAGAGGCCTGTCAACCTCTGACGAAAGGGGCTTTAACAGGCAGCGCGAGGCGACAGGAGGAGGAGGAGGAGGAGGAGGAGGAGGAGATTGCTGAGGAGGAGGAGGAGGAGGAGGAGGAGGAGGGGGAGGAGGAGGAGGAGGAGGAGGAGGAGGAGGAGGAGGAGGAGGAGGAGCTCGGAGCAGCAAGAAGAGGAGGAGGAGGAGAAGGAGGAGGAGGAGCGTCTCCGGACGCGACCAGGGAGGCTCAACAGGCCGCGCGAGGCAGGCGCGAGACGGCACGGCGACGGTCGGGGCAGCAACACGTGTGTGTGCGTGCACGCTGGTCGCTGAAAGCAGGTGTTCTTGGGCTCCCAGATCCCAATCTACGTTAGGCGCCTTCCTACTTCAGTGATCGAGTGGTTGCCCCTCTTCCCTCGTCTTCACGGTCGGGCGAAAGCCCAATCTAGTTCCAGCACCTCCTACTTCATGGTTCTACCCACTTCTTCCGACCAACTGGTGCAAATATACATATGTGTATATACATATATATAGACGTTTGCACTTACGTATATGTATATGTACAGAAATATGCATACAAACATACAAGCAAATACGTCAATGCACATGAATAAATGTACAAACAGATCTCAGAACAAGGGCGCCGAGCGATCTTGCACCGACCATGGGTGCGTGGCTGAGGTGGGGGTCCCCGGTGCGGATTCTCCTTCCCTGGGCTCCTCGATGCCCCGCGCGCCTTTACTGACCCATCCAACAACCGGGGGCGCGCGCCTCCACGTGATCTTTGCCAAAGTGGAGCTCCTTTATGTGAAGCGCCTTCCGCAGGTGCTTCAAGCTCGTCTCCGCCTGCCCCAGGTCGCTGTACGCAGCTCCTCACGTGCGGGAAGCGGAAACGGGATCTTAGGGAAAGATGGAAGGAAGGAAGCAAACGTGGAAGCAGATAAACAACTACTACAAGAGAGGTTGCTTGCAGCGGAAGAGACAGCAAGTGAAAGATATCGGCATGAGTCCGTTCCTCCTCCTCATCCTCCTCCAGCCCACCCTCCTCGTCCTCCTAGACCTTCTCCCTTCCTACACCTCCTACTTCTCCCCCTCCTCATTCCCCAGATCCTCTTCCTCCTCCTCCTCCTCCTTCTCCTCCTCCCCCTCCTCCCCCCTCCACCCTAGCCCTCCTCCCTCATTCGTCTGCCAAAACCAACACCCGTCCGCTGTGCAGGTCCATGGCCCACTGCTCAGGCGACAACAGCCTCAACGATAGCTTTGGATGTAGGAAACGCATGCACGTAATGCAGTGTGCATCCTGATCGTGGTCCCTCCTCCTGCCCCTCCTTCTCCTCCACCGCCCACGTCATCATCGTCATCATCATCATCATCATCATCATCATCATCATCATCATCATCATCATCATCATCATCATCATCATCATCATCCATCATCATGATCGCCATCGTCATCATCATAATCATCATCATCATCATCATCATCATCATCATCATCATCATCATCATCATCATCATCATCATCATCATCATCATCATCATCATCATCATCATCATCATCATCATCATCATCATCATCATCATCATCATCATCATCATCATCATCATCATCATCATCATCATCATCATCATCATCATCATCATCATCATCATCATCATCATCATCATCATCATCATCATCATCATCATCATCATCCTTATCATCAGCATCGTCATCATCAGCAGCAGCAGCATCAGCATCAGCATCAGCATCAGCATCAGCAGCATCATCATCACCACCACCACCATCATCATCACAATCAGCATCGGCAGCAGCATCATAATCGTCACCAGCAGCAGCATCATCAGCAGCAGCATAACATGCATCATCCGAATCTTAGAAGCATTCACCCGCATCCACATCATGTCGTTAGACTCACCAATGTATTCCTACTCATAACCACCAGCATCATCATCAGCAGCAGCATAAGCATCAGCATCAGCATCAGCATTAAAACGACCAGCAACACCATCAGCACCATTATCATCAGCAGCGCAAGTATCAACCTCATATGCATTATCAGAGTCATCAGCATCATCAGCATCATCAGCATCCTCAGCATCAGCAGCAGCATCGTGATCATCATCAACAACATCATCAGAGTCCATCATCATCAGCAGCAGCAGCATCAGCAGCAGCATCGCATCCTCATCCGCACCGTCATCCTCATCCTCATCACCATCCCTAGTTGGCATCGTTCTCCAACCCTTCCTATTCCTGGTCAGCCTGCTCCTCCTCTTCGTGCGTCATACCACCCTTCCGCTGTTCCAGCAACGCGGATAACGTACGTCAATACTCGAAGGCTTGCCAGAGTCAAGTTACACCTTCCCATCTATTCTCCGTCCAGGTGCAAGCATGGCAACAGCAATGTGCAATGAAATCTTCGAAAGCAAGCTGCGACGCACTCCTAGGTTGGCGAGAATGATGGCGACGTTCACGTGGTCCTTGTCAGAACTCCCTTCTATGACGAACTACGACCGCAACTACAACCGCGAGCCATGACGCGCAGCTTGCGGCTCCAGATGCACACTCACGCGAGTGCTCATGTCAACGAAGGAGCCACCTGGTGGCTCTCGCAAACCGGCCCTCCGAAGCTCCTCCAAAGCGATCACTTCGAAGACTGCGACGCGACGTGCATCGCCGCAGAGAGGGCGGCAGCCCTGCGCACGAAGCGTCGACTGCGGGGGACCAGTGCTGAGAACCTCTGGGCGAAGAGATGGGCCGAGCAGCTCGGCCTGGCACCGTTCGGCGCGCCAGCTGACACGCTCCCCGGCACGTCCCCGGGCGCGTCCCCTGGCACGTCGCCTGACGCGGCCCACGGCCCGTCTGCGGCACCTCCACCCGCACGTCCCCTCCCTCGTCCCCGGAGCGTCTCGGGGCGCGGCCCCCGACGGGTCCCGCGGCACGCTCCCTGGCGCGCCGCGCGCTGTGTGTCCCGCGGCGCGTCCCTTGGCCCGCCCCCTTGGCACATCCCCTGGTGCGTCCCTCGCGAGTCCATGGCACGTCCCCAGAGCACGTCCCCTGGCACGTTCCCTGGCGCATCCCCCCGCGCGACCCCCTCGTCTCCTCGGACTGCCTCGTTCTCAGACTCACTCATACTCAGACTCACTCACGGTGAGACTCAGGCATATACTCACTATGACTCCATGTCGTTCATGCTCAGGCTCGCTCATACTCAGACTCACTCATGTTCAAACTAAGCAGAGTCCGTCACTCATACTCGGACTGGCTCGTACTCAGCTTAGCTCATGCAAAGATACACGCAGGCTATGTAGCCCCCCCAAGGGGATGTCGACCAGGTGCGATCCACGGGCCCGTTCGCGCCCGCCCTGCCGTGACCGTCGGGCAGATCACACGTTTGGGGTAGTCGCCGTGTCTCGTTCCTGAGCCCCCGAATCGCCGCGAGGTAGCAGTCATGGCACTGAGGCCTCCCAGTCTGGTGTCGACCAGGGGTGCTCGGGAACGTCGAACCCAAACGCACTTGACTCGCACGGACTTCGCTCCCACGCACCTGCCTCGCACGCACTCCACTCGCACGCACTCCACTCGCACGCCTCTCCGCTCGCACGCACTTGACTCGCACTTCGCTGGCACGCACGTCACCTGCACCTGCTCGACATCGCACGCCAAGTGCTTATGTCTCAGGCCTTTGTGGTCCGCCGCGCGCAGGCCAAAGTCCTTGCGAGATCGATCGAGTCTGGAAAAGCCAGCCCAGGCGAACGGAGCTCCGTGCGAGCGCATCCCAGTGCGAGAGCAGCTCCATACGAATCCCATCTGTGCGAGCTCAGCCCCGTGCGAGCGAAGTCCGTGGAAGCCGGCGCGTTAGAGGGCAGCTGCTAAAACGGCGGGATACTTCCGAATGTCACCCGCCCTCTCGGCATAGATTGTAACGAGAACGTTGCTTCTTTCCTCTTCCATAACCTCTCTTCCCTTCAAGGAGGGGTACCTTCCCCCTCCCCTCCATTGGGTTTTTGGGGGAGTGTCACGAGGTGTCAGAGTCTTCCGTCGCCCAAGATGGCTCGAAGAGGGCCTCCGATGCTCCACGATAGCTCAAGAGAGCCGAAAATGGCTCAAGATGGCTCCCAACATGCTCCAAAAGGCCCCAAAAAATGCTCCAAGGCGGCTCCAAGTGTTCTCGAAACCCCCCAAGACACCCCCAAGAGACCAAAATCCGTCAATAAGCTAAGGAACAGATTTGTTTTGTGCCTTCTCGCCTTTTCGCTTCCGGTGCGCGTTAAGACCTGAAGATGGTCCCAAGATGGCCCAAGAGAGCCCCGAGAGGGGCCCAAGAGGGGCCCAAAAGGCCCCTCAGACGGCCCCCAGAGCGCCCAAGAGCGCCTGAAGTGCCCCAAGAGACGGTTTTGAGGACTCCTCAGAGGGGCCTAGATTTAGGACCCCCACTTGTGATCGATCGCATCCAAGAGGGCCCCAAGAGGCCCTCCAGGGCTGCCAGAGGCCCTCAAGAGGGCTCCAAGAGTGCCCCAAGACCCCTCAGAAGAGCCCCAAGAGGACCCCGATTCCCCCCGAAAGAGCCCCAAGAGGGCCCCAAGAGGGCCCCAAGAGCCAAGAGGACCCCAAGAGGGCCTTAAGAAGACCACAAGATGGCTGCCAGAGTCCTCGCCCTTATCCTCCTTCTCCTCCTCCTCCTCCTCCTCCTCCTCCTCCTCCTCCTCGAGGTCGTCCTCGCCCTCCTCGTCCTCCTCGTCCTCGTCCTCTCTCTCCTTCTCGTCATCCTGTTCGTTCACGTCATCCTCCTCGTCCTGGTCTTCGTCCTTCTCCTCGTCCTTGTCGTCGTCGTCCTCCTCGCCTTGCCCGCTTCGTTTCATTAGATGTGTCGCTTCCTCCCGTTGCCCGTCGTCAGCTCGGAATGGGCAACATTTGGCTTCCTGCCGCTCCTCCTGGTCTTCGGCCCCCCACCCTCTGCAGTCTTCCCTGGGTTCTTCTCTGCTTCTCCTGCCCTTTCCTCCCTCCCTCCCTCCCTCATCCTGTTCCTCGCCCCTCATCAGCAAAGAAAAAGCGGGATCCCACGGGAGGCGGAGGAGGAGGAAGAGGAGCGGGAGAAGTAGGGGGAGGAGAAGAGAGGAGAGGGGGACCGAGAGGGAGGAGGACAGGGACCAAAAAGGCACAAGGGAGGAGGCAGAGGATACGGCTGGAGGGAAAGTCCCCCTTGCGCAGAGAATCCTGCGCGAGGCGCGCCAGCCCCTCAAGGGACGCAATGCCCGTGCAAGAGTTCACACTGGAGGCTCGGGGCCAGATACACCAAGTGGCATGAAGCAAGGCAGCCACCCCGAGGTTCCAGAAGACCCGACACACATCGCCCGGGGAGACGGAAGACTCGGGTACGGGGGACTCGGGTTGGCATGGCGGGGCCATCATGAAAATGACGAGACCCAATCTGAAAGTTGACGCGAGCTCCCGCTGCACACATCCCACGAAAACTGGACCGTCAAAATCCAAGACGCGCCTCGTCAACAAGCGTCGGCAAATCCGAGTTCCAGCTTACTCGAGTCTTGCGCTTCCCCGATTCGTCTCGCCCCTCCCTCCTGGAGCCCCTCTCGCCCTCCTACTCCTCTCGGCCTGGGCGCTCCTCCTCTCCGCACGGGCCAGCTGCTTCCCTCCTTCTCCCAGAGATATCCGACGTGGTGATTTATGAATTGTCCACAGCGTGGCTCCACAGAGGTATGCGAACGTGTTCTGATTCAGCGTTTCGACATTGGGCGGAAGAGGGGGGGGTCTGGCTCCGGACCTCTGCTTCATGCGACTGCTTGCAGCAGTGAGTCTTATTGGGGAGGCTCCACCTACTCGAACCAGGCGCCAAAAACAGCCAAGACCTACTCCATGGGGGGGGGAGGGGGGGGGGCGATGGCCCGCGCCGATCGGCAACAAACAATGCATAAGAAAACTACCACCAGGGACTGGCGGTCTCATCCTGCGTCGTTTTTGACGGCCCTGATGCCCAGGGGTGCCCCCCGGAAGTCGAGAACTGCCAGAAAACTGTCCGTCGTGTTCTTGTTCACGCCGAGGAGTTCGGGTCCCTCCTGGTAAGGCTTCGGGCTGCGCAAAGGCAGCCCCCCCAGGTAACCCCGGCTGGCCTCAACAGGCCCCCCAGGTAGTTATCCACGTCTGGCCTCAACAAGCCCCCTGAGATGCCCGGGGCGGTCTCAACACCTCAACGCCCCAGGGGCGCCGCTGGAGATGGCGCCAGGGTGTTGATACCACCCTGGATCACTCGGAGGGCCCGTTGAGGCCAGCTGTGACTACCTGGGGGGCCTGTTGAGGCGAGCCGGGACTACCTGGGGCTGTCTGTGCGCAAACTGAAGCCTTTTCCGGAGGTCGCGGCTCTTCCGCGCCCCCCATCAGGATACCGCGCGCCACCATGCGCTCGCGGTCCTCGCCGCACTCGGCCCTCATGATTCGCAGCGCCTGGAGAGCGCGGGGGGCTGGCTTCAATCCTCCTGCCCCTCCTCCCCATCCTCCTCATCATCATTTGCAGACCCCCTGCTGCCCTCCTCCTCCTCCTCCTCCTCCACCTCCTCCTCCTCCTCCTCCTCCTCCTCCTCCTCCTCCTCCTCCTCCTCCTCCTCCTCGTCCTCGTCCTCGTCCTTCGCCTCCTCCTCCTCCTCCTCGTCCTCCTCCTCCTCCGCCTTCTCCTCCTTCTCCTCCTGCCCGAGGTGCTCCTGGCCCAAGGCTGGCCCGAGCTCGTCGCGCCACTTAGGGGCCCCTGGAGTCCCCTGGGCCTCAAGAGGGGCGCCCCAAAGATTGCTTTTAAACTATATTTCGGGTACTGGGGCCCTGGGTAACAGTAACGCTTGCACCCGGTGGGGCC